GGTGATGTAAGTAATGCAGATATACCGTTTCTTTGTTTCCTTACAAAAATTTTAATAAATTTCTTATACCTTATTAATAATTTCCTTATATTTTATTAATTGCAAATTATAATCATCTAATAAGAATTGGATTGTCTATTACCTTTAAAACATTAATATATCTATAACTTTTATAGAATATAATATATATTTTTGCATTGTGTAGGAACAATCATGTTGTTGTTCCAGGTAATTAAAAGTTCCATGGTATATTTAAATCTTTTGCGAACAATGACTATGTGAAACGTATTTATGTGAAACATAAGTTAAGAAATATGCAAGATATATATTTTATATAAAATAGAATATATAGAACAGAATTAATATATCTTGAAAATAAGATTTAATAAATAAAATCAATGATTTTGTCAAACTCAAGATTATCAATCATTTTCAAAGATGCACGCTGTACAATTTTTTGTGATTTTCCTGATACTTGTTACTATAATTTCTACATTTTATGAAATACTGATTTTCGTATTCATCGAAATTACATATTCACCGTTTTTAGCAGCATAAGAAGCACGCTCTGCATAAAATCGAATAAAATACAGTTACACCTGATAATTAAAGCGTATTCGGTATTGTTTCTACAAATTCATTCGTATGATCTTCGTGACACGCGATATTCTGTCTCATAACTAATATACTATAAACTCGTGACAATACAATTGCTTGAACACGCAACCCTTTCAGAGCAATTGCAGGTTGCTCACCAAACTTTTTAGGAAAGTTGGCGCAGGTGCTATTTCACATTCAACTTCGAAACAATGAACTGGCCATCGTGATAGCGCATTGCATGCCTTCCTAAAGTAATTGTGCTGAACTATAGGTACACGTGTGGCAGGAAGCGTGGAACTGAAAAAGCGTGACGATTGCAATTTGCAATCGACGATTTCTCATTTCAACTTAAACATGTTACATATGAATTAAATTGACTACTTTTTCCTAAATTATTAAAACTGAATGTATATTGTGCTCTACGCGGAAAAGGAAGATATTCGTAAAATTAAACATTTGCTGACATATTTTACGAAAAGTCACGTCGAAAAGTGTTGTATATCAGTGTTATAATATTATAATACACATGAAAGTATTATGTAAAAAGTTTTGTCTTGCTAAAAACATTACTTAATTAGATATTACTTATAATATCTATATTAAAATATTGAAAATACATATAATATGTAAATATATTATTCGCAGTTTATTATAATTTTATTTTTATAATTTTCATTATATTCATTTACATTATAATTTTCTCAATTATAGAACATTTTTTTAATATTACAGAATTAAAATTAAAAAAATTAATTTATTTATTTCTGAAGAAAGCTGTCAATAAATGTGTACTTTCCAGAAGTAGAGCGCATATGGTAAAATTTATTAAATGATGTTAATGATTTTATGACTTTATACATATATAATTTGACTTAATATCCATTGTCAAATACACATTTGTAAACAATCATATTCTTTTCAAGCACTTTTCACTACATTATAACACAGTCGACTGCCTAATTTTGGAACAAGTTTCATTTGTGTATCGATTAAAAAAAGTTTCACCCTTTTCCTCTCGAACAAATCGATATAAACACAGGTATCATGCATGTTGTTCAACTCCCCTTACTCTGAAGGGATAAGACAGATAAACAGAATGGAACTGATAGGGAACAAAACAGAGCTACCCACAAGCGGATGAGGGTCGAGGGATAAGTTCTTATTATCCGTTCAAATAAAAATACAGAAACGAATGAGTTACAACAGAGTTACAGTAACAAAAAAAAGGTAGTCGGACAGCGTGACTAGTCTGTCGCTTTCGCCGTCTATCTTGCAATGAAAATTCACCACCACTTCAATTTGCTATCGATTACCTGAGAGATGAGTGTATAAAATGAAAGTATAGTCTCATAGCCAATACACCGCGCACGCGTTACTCTGTAACTATTACCCCGCGTACGTTTCGAGAAATCTGCGCGAGTCAGTCGTGTCTCTGCGCTCGAGAAGTGAACATGACGAAGCTTCCACAGAACCCGCCGATAATTTTTAACTATGTAAAGAATAAGGAATATAGCATCCAGCCGATTCGTTGGCTGCTAAAGCCGATAAGTGTTTGGCCGATGACGGACTCGTCGATCGCGGAGAGGATCTCGTCAGTAGCGTTGCTGATAGCATGCATTTTTTTAATCGTCAGTACTTTGGTGCCTTGCGCGTTGGCCATAATCTTAGACGAGAACAAAGATATGGAAATAAAGATACGTGATTTTGGACCGCTCAGCAACTGGGTGCTGGCGAGTCTCAAGTATATCTCGTTGCTGGCGCACGTTGACGACATATATCAATGTATCAAGCACATCGAGATGGATTGGCGGGCTGTGACAAAATTCGAGGAGCAGGAGATAATGCTGAAGAATGCCAGGATCGGTCGTTTCGTCGCGATATTCTCCGCGACATTCGTGCACAGCGGCGTATTTTCGTACAGTATTTTTCGAGGAATGACGTTAAGCGAAGCCGCCGTCGGGGGCGATAACGTGTCGGTGCGTCCGCTACCTTTCGCGTTCTACGATAAGCTCCTAGACACCACGACGAGCCCGATGTACGAAATAGTGTTCATAATACAGTGTCTATCCACGTTTGTTGTAAATTCCATAGCAGTAGGCGCATGCTGTCTCACCGCCGTGTTCGTTATGCATGCCTGCGGTCAGTTAAAAATCCTTATGTCCTTGCTGGATAATCTGATCGACGAAAGAAACGAAAAGAAAGACTCCTCGCAGCAGAAGTTCGCCATCATCGTCGAACATCATTTAAAAATACTCAGGTAATCGAAGGGACAATTTAATAATAAATTTTTTGTATTGTAATGACGGATATTTTTATCTTCGTTTTAATTACATGCTAAATGTTGTGTGAATAATATCTACATTGATCTATTATTAAATAAGTATGTTAAAATAAAACCTCGAATAAAACATGTTAATAACGGTAATACACAAAAATGTACCATTATTTTGATACGTTATACATATACCATATATTCTTAAATAAATGTATTTCTAGTTTCGTGTCTTACGTAGAGAAAATTATGAATATAGTTTGTCTCGTGGAAGTAGCAGGTTGCACGATGCACATGTGTCTCTTGGGCTATTATTGCATACTGGTATGCGTATTGTGTGAAACTTGTGTTTGCCGCTGGTTACCTATTGCTCTAACGAATTAGAGAATCTCTTTTAGGATTGGAACCAAGACGAAAAAGAAAGTATGGTGGCATACGCTATAATATTGATCTCAGTTACTTTCAACATCTTTATATTTTGTTACTTTGGGGAGATTCTTTCAGAACAGGTGACGGCAACGCTTGTTAGACATATAAAATAGTATATTGTGCACCAAGGGGCGAAAGTAGCGTTTTTCAGACGAGTGTGAAGTTTGCCGCCCTCGCCTTCGGCTCGGGCGGCAAATCACTCGAGTCTGAAAAAGCTTTCGCCCCGAGGTGCACACGATATTTTTCACAATATCTTTACGGAAAGTTCGACCTCCATGCCTAGAGAGAGGCGAGAGTGGCCATTTCACGCCAGGACGGCATAGCGGGACGAAAGTGATCACTTTCCACCCTAGGAAGGAAAGTGGTTACTTTCGTCCCGCTAATGCCGTCCTGGCGTGAAATTGGTCACTTTCACCCCTCTCTACAGGCATGGAAAGTCAAACTTTCCGTGGAAGTGTTGTGAAAAATGATTTTATACCTATCGATAAGAATACCAATCGATAAAAACTTTACGATCTATTAATCGTTAATTTTACGTGTGAGTTTTATCGAAACGCGATATTGCCGCGAGCGTATTTTTTTTATTTAATCGTAATATAACAGAGCGGCCAAGTTGGTGAAACTGCCTACATGACAAATTGGTATCTGTTACCCGGAAATACCGCTCTCGGTCTCATTCTAATCATTTTAAAATCCAGCATCGTAGTTAAAATCTCTGCTGGAAAGATGATTGAGCTTTCCCTTTCTACCTTCGGTAATGTGAGTATATACAAAAATAGTATTTTTAATTTGCAGGCATGTACACTGAGAAAAAAGTTTTATTATACTATATAAACAACCAACAATTCTCAACAAAACTTTTTTTGCAATAGCAATTCGGCAAAACTTTGCTATTGCAACAAAAGGTTTTGCTATTATTGCAAAATTAATTAGCTCTCGCAGCAAAAAAAGTTTGTTGTTCACATAATAACAAAACCTTTCTCTCAGTATAGTTTACAGAAATAGTACTTTATAATATTATATAATTATTTTATATAGCTTGTAAAAATTATTATAAAGATTAGATGATTGTTTTAATGACTAACCAAACAATCACATTTTTTATACTGACAATATAATTAAAACTATTTCAGGTAATTAAATCCGCGTTAGCATATTTAAACATACTTCGTACCCTCATTATATAAATAACATTAATGTTATATATATAGATATGTACAGATATATGTAGATTATAAACAGTAAATATATAGTATGCAATTGAATAATTAAATAATAATGATACTGTTGTGAGAATATTTTACCCGT